GCCTGACGCTTGAGCAAGTTGTCATGGTTCTTTTGCTCCAACTCTGCCAGTGACGCGGAATATCTCCGAGGACGGTCCACTCTGGCGCTCCCCGTCACCCCAGGAGGCGATGGAGCCGAGGCCGTTCGGGTAAACAGGGCTTCTAGGGCTTCACTTTCGTCATCTCCAACATGGTGTTCGTTCGCGTCTCTTTCTCTCCTCGGTATGATTGCTGTTGAGATTCGCGCGCCTCTCTGAGTCAGCGGACTCGCAGCTCTGCGGGTCCACGGAAGCATGGCAGATAGACTGGTGTTGATTTCGAAATTCGGCCCATCATTTCCTCCATCTTGATACAACAGCTCGGGAGGGGGGGCATTTGACGTGACATCTAAATGGCTATGGCTTGCTCTTCTTTCCTGTTGGTCGACTTTGCGATGTGGATGTGGTCTAGACGCTTGACGAGGCAGTCCATTGTCTGCGTTGCCTCGATTTTCACCGGTCTGGTACGGCTGTTCAGCAACACGTCGATTCCTACGAAGCCGTTGATTGTGCACTACTTTAATATTTCCCTGAAGTGCAGCACTTCTTCGTGGTTGTTGTACCCTGCCACTGCTTTCTGATTGATGTCCTCCTAGAATATCGGAGTCTCTAAGCCTATCACCTGCTGGAGCTTCATGACCATATGTGATTTCTTCTCGGCCACTTATTCCTTCATGAATTTCCCTTTCCGCGTCCTCAACCAAATGTCCATAATTTTCTTCTTCCTCCACCCTAGTAACGCCAGGTTGTGTATACGGGTAGCCTTGCACGACTACAAAATCCTGTTCGTTCTCTGTATCATCCCCAGAGTCTAGGTCCTGACTTTTCTCTTGGTTGATGAATTTATTGTAAATCGTCAACTCGAGTTCTTCCTCATGGGAGGCCCAACTTTTATCGAACATTCTTGCCAGCTCCTCATCCGTGTAATCGAAATCTCGCAAGGTGACCCGTATTCGCCCGACTAGCCATGGAATGTAACGGGATTAGAAGTGGATGCAGAAAGAGGAAGAACAAGTGCGATGTGGTTGTGGAATTAAGATAACCTGCCTTACTTGTAATCCTTGACAAGTACTCCTTGACAAATAATTACTTGTAGTCCAAGCTGTACAGCACAATGTAGATCTTCTAAAAAGATTAAGATTATTAACATAGTTTTGATCAACATCAGATTATGATCCTTCTTATACAGAGGTAGTAAAATCGTTTAAACTCCATACAGAAGCAGAATAGGTCATTTGATTTACCCACCAGTCGGACTTCTTTGCTAAAGACACCAGAGCAAGAACCTCGTTACTGTCACCGCTATTTCACGTGTACCATAACTGAAGAAGAATCCGGCTGCTAGCAAGACCAGCGCGGTGCGGGTCGAGTTGTTTTGGAAGGTGTTCCACCAAGTTTTGATCGGAGACAAGGATTTATTGTTGGGAAGCCAGCTTCTCAGTAGCTACTGGAAAAAAATATGGTACGACCAGTGCATCTGAAAGTCATTGTCACACAACATGACCATGATATGCATAGAACTCAATACGACTGTCACTCTTCTACTGAGACTGCAGACAGGAGCGACACGGTCTACTAAGCCAAGAATTACTATGTTCGACAAGATCATGTGTTGATCATATATTATAATATCATCTGCTTACCCTGTCATGGAGGTGGAGCACCATGCTGCTCCGATAACATCTGTACTATAGGATTGAGTTTTGGAAATCTTTGAATGTAGAGATTCAACAGAGCCAGAGGTGTCTGTTGTAAGCCGTGAGGAGAACAACGAGTCAAGATGCAAGTCAGAAGTATTAGGTGCTTGTATACTGAAGAAAAGAAAAAGGAATTTCTTCGCCAGACCTATTCTTCGATCATGAGAAGTTACTGGTGTTCACTCTGCATTATTATACGCTTCATCTTGCGAGAGTGAGATTCAACGAAAAACAAGAAGGCTATACCATGATCTGATGTTGCTGTTCTCATAGTTGTGCATTACTGTGCGAGTGCGACTTTCGAAAAAGACGACGATCCAATTTGTCAGAAGCGAAGAAAGGATCCATCCAAGCGATCACGTGGAGAAAATCTGCAGACTTTGATCTCTTTGGATCTCTGCTTCTGCAGTCTAAGGCTCGAAGGATCTTCCAGGATCTTATAGAAGACGATTGCGATCTTCCTGATCTTCCGAGAATAAATGTATTAGGAAAACGAGGATGGTTGGAAGTCCAAGAGGACGATGGTGGAAGCGGAAGGTGGACCTTGTTCGTGATGATGATGATGATGATGATGATCGCCGAAAAGTGTGGCTTTGTACGGATTTCCAGAGAGAAGGAGAGGAGAAAAAGGATGAAAAAAGGAAAACTGATACTGGCTTTGCGAAAACAAGGACGGTTGCAAGGTAGATGACACTTTAAGACAAAGACATACCTAATGCTCAGTAATGAAAAGGGCCCCGCTCAAGGATTCATTCTCTTTTTCATTGATGGACGTTCAATCAAATTTATCAAATTTCTTTTACAGTTGAATTCGTGCATGCTCATACTTACTGCTTTTTGAAACTTTTTGAATGCTAGCTACACAAATTCTTTTGTCCCTGGTTACCACTAGGAGAGTTACCAATAGGATACTCTTAACACTTTTCTTCCGACCATTATAGTCTTAATCTTTATCATCTTTCAAGAATAAAAATCAATGAAAATGGCAAGTGGTGGAGCATCTTCAGCGGTGGTGGATCGCGTGTATGATGTCATCATTGCTGGCGCAGGTCTCTCGGGTTTGACCACAGCAATGCGCATGTTGGAGCAACGCCCTCAAACGAGTGTACTCCTTCTTTAAGGCTTCCCCTAACCCATCCCTGTAGACATCCCTCAAACATATGCGCCCCAATACAAGGGAGATACTGACGCATATGCTTGAGGGATTTCCACAGGGATGAATAGGGGAGAGCTCTAACTTCTGGAGAGCAGCGCGCACCGCATCGGGGTTGCTGTCGCTGCAGGGCGCGGACCTGGGACCCGAAAAACCAAAAAAAATCGGCTCCAAAAAGAATAATCGGCAGAGGCGTGTAGAGCAGGACGTGGATCAGGAGATGGATGCTAAAGTAGTCAAGATCGTAGAAGAGCAACATATTTCTAATAGGGGGACTAGTGGTCCCGAAGATGTGTCGAGGACGTCTCCGTCGGGTGCTGGTGCTACCGAAACGTGTGCAGACACAGGTGAAACTCGCCCAACAGTGGTTGCCGTGCACACAGCTGACGGCCGCGTTTTTCGTGCACGACAGGTGGTTCTGGCTTTTCCACCCAAAAAGGTGCTGAGTGACGTGAAATTCGCTCAGAATGACGGTAAAAACGGCTTGGAAGTGGAAAACAACACGCCGTTGAACCTCTCGCGCCACGTAAAGCAGCAAATGGCGAATCAGCCGGTTTGGATGGGCCCAGCGGGAAAAATTGCTTTGTTTTATCGAGAAAAGTGGTGGAGTCCGGATGCATTGATGCGAACGCAATTACCCTTACCACGGGGCACGGGGACGGGCGACTCGTACTCGAAGATCCATCCGCAACATCAACCACACGCCTTTCAGGCCTACGACGCTGGGGGCGTTATCGTGGACGGTGAGCCAATGCATGGCTTGGTCGCCTTTGTGGCCCTGGGCAGCAACAACCACAGCGTCCTTACACGAGATTATCAAGCCTGGACACAAAAGTACGTTAGTGGCAACGGAAAACATGCGGAAACCATCGTCGATAACGGCAGCACAGCCTATCAAAAGCTGGTTCTAGCGAACGTGTTAGAGCAATTAGAGCGTGTTTCCATG